TAGCAGGGATGTAACTATCCATTAAATTCTTTAGGATGGAAAAAAAAATCTATGAGGAGGTTTTAATTCTCCATTAAATCCTATGGAAGGACTATAACAGAACCTTATGAATTTTCTCTGAGACAACGTTTCTTCCCTCCGTTAGTCTATGATAGGTTCAGCAACGGCTCCATAGAAAGCAGCTGTATTTACACGTGCATATTGTTATGAAAGTTCTCAAAAATCCAAACTGCCTAAATAATGCTTTATTAAAATGAAATTTGTTTAACATAGTTAATATTTTCCTCTCCTCCCTCCTTTTTTTTCTTTATTAACTAGGATTTGGCTTCGTAACTTTTGAAAATGAAGACGTGGTGGAAAAAGTCTGTGAAATTCATTTCCACGAAATCAATAATAAAATGGTAAGTTTTCTTCCCAAAATGCGTGTCGGTGGAAGTGACATCTCTCCCTTTGCTGCAGAAACATGCTGCGCCTGGGTGGGCCTTGGGGGAAAGTTTTCCATAAAAGTTTTCCACGGTGGTAGTAGACACGGTGTGTCTGATGGCTCAGTTTGCGGCTGAGCGTGCTGAGCTTCGGGCATGGCCCGTGTTGGCCCCCTCCTGACAGCAGGTAGGACGTCTGTCCTTCCCCGCGTCCGTAGGGGCTGTCTCTCCGGGGTCAGGCAGTCGCCGGGGAGCAGGAGTTTGGTGCGGGAAGCAGAGGGCTGAAGACGGCCTCAGTCAAGCTACCCAGCTTCTTGGCCAGCCTTGGAGAAACCCTCCGGCTCCCACCCACCCTGTGGCTCTCCACTGAATGGCTGCTTTAAGGGTTATCAGAAGGGCAATGGGCTGGAATAGCTATTACAGACTAAATGTTCCCAAAATAGCTATTCTGGTGAAGCTGCCTGTGCAGCTGAGCCCAAATGCTGCTCCTACATTGCTGCTGCCTGTGCTGACAGTGTCGCCGGGAAGTCGCGGTCTCTGCCCCCAGCCCCCCCCCCCTGCCTCTCCGCTCGTCCGCCCCGCGCCTGAGCCAGGAGTCAGACCTGTCTTGAAGTTTCCCCTAAGTTACAGTCTCCCCCCAGGTTATGGGTTGCCCTGTCAGTAAAGCCACTGAGCCAGATGAAAAAGGGTATTTGTATTTCAATTGATGCAATAACTTTGATATTTTCAGCTAAAATATTCTTTTTCCTTTTGTCAAAACATCCTTTGCTTCTCAAATGTGTATTCAGATATGCATTGTATATTGGTCTGATATGTGTTCACAGACTTTAAATTCAATAATAGAGCTTTTAGTGTGGATAAGATCAAAGCAATCTCCTTGGCATATGCTGGAGGCCTGATTCAATATTTGACTTGCTAATTTTTCCCAGGGCACTGAAATAATATCCTTCATATTGTTCCTCACTGCAATATGCGTCTGAAATAAAAGTAACAATCCCTTTGGCAAACTCTTTGCTGCGATGTCAGGGCTGGGCCGGGGCAGTTCCCGCCTTCCCCAGCAGGGATCGGTCTGCCCGGCTCCCATGGGAGACGCGGGCTCGGCCTCGCGCCGCCCCGGGCGGCTGCCTGCTTCCTCGGTCTCCTCTTCCAGCCAGTTCTGCTTCCGCAGTTTCCTTCTTGCTACCAGTGCTACATAGCGTGAAATAAATGTGGACTGTGGGGGAGACTTCATTCCCTCCTGTAGTTGCTAAATGCTGATTAATCTGATTCATCGCTTTACTTCAAACAAAATAAACCCAAACACCCCCACCCTGGAAAAAAAACCATCCAGCAGTAAATTATGAACACTGTAAGTACAGATGTAGGGAAGACTTGTCAGTGGAGGAGGAGAAGCGGCAGCGCTGCGCTCCAAGGTTTCCTACCCGCTCGTGCAGGGCCGGGTGTGCGTGGTCGGGTGCTTCCCGCCCCGGGTTTGCCTTC